TTAAGGTTTTTTTTTTTTTGCTTCCTCGGTCTATAAAGAAGGGTCTAACATAAAAATCTTGAAATGTTAGTGTTGGAGAAGAGAATAGATTAATGGCAAAAAGGAATTTGAAAAACCTTCGAATAATTACTCATATGCACCGGATTACTCAAGGGTGTTTAATATTTACTTAACGGCGTTTAATGTAAAGTTAATGGATATTTTTAATTGTTGGAATAAGATAGTGCAGGTGGGTTAATTGCATCAATCTAAAGTTTAGGGTGGTTTTTTGAAACACCACCTAAATACAAGGTGGTTTTATGTAATTTAGCCATTAGTTTACCAACCAATCGCTGATATTGTTCTTTATCCACCTCATTCCCATCTTCAATACCTAACTTGGTATTAGGTTCCACAGGTGTCTCAGTAGGTTTACACCCTAACATTCCTGTTTCCAACAAAAGATCTAGAACATATTTCTTTTGTGTTAGAGTGATGCCTGTTTTGCTCCTAGCAACTTCCATACCAAGGAAATATTTGAGAGTGCCAAGGTCTTTGAGTTCAATGCTAGAAATTTCTTCAAGGTGTTCAATTCCTCAATATCATCACCTGTAAGAACTATATCATCTACATATACAATAAGAATAGCAATTTTACCATCCTTAGAGTGTTTGTGGAAGAGAGTATAATCAGTCTGTGCTTGAATGAAGCCTCTTCTTTTGACTGCTTGTGAGAATTTGTCGAACCATTCTCTGGGAGATTGTTTCAATCCATATAGAGACTTTTTTAGTTTACACACTGATCCATTTCCCTTTTCAAAACCAGGTGGAGGATCCATATAGACTTCTTCATGTAAGTCACCATTTAGGAATGCATTCTTCACATCTAACTATTGCAGAGGCCAATCTAGATTGGCAGCAAGAGATAAGAGAACTCGGATGGTATTGACTTTAGCAACCGGAGCAAAAGTCTCATGATAATCTATCCCATGAGTCTGAGTGAAACCCTTTGCAACCAATCTTGCCTTGTATCTGTTGATGCTATTATCTGCATTGAATTTTATTGTAAACACTCATTTGCACCCTACTGCCTGTTTTCCTTTGGGTAAGGTCACTATCTCCCAAGTTCCATTTCTTTCTAAAGCATTCATTTCTTCAAAGACAGCATCCCTCCATTTTTGATCATTGAGAGCCTCGTGTATATTTCTCGGTATCTTTGTACTATCCAACATAGTATTGAAAGCACGAAACCCTGGGGACAACTTTCCGTATGAAATATGATTAGAAATAGGATGAGTAGTACAAGATCGAGTACCTTTTCTGAGAGCAATGGGCAAGTGTAGATCATTTTCACCATGACACTCAAGTATTGGGGTGCTGGAACTAGAACATGGTTCAGAATCCTGGCAGTGTAGAGGCTCTGGGTTATTCACACTTTGAGGAGGCTTTCGCCTGCTATAAACTTGTCCCCATTTTGAGGAGGCTCTTGATGGTGAGGATTCTGTAGCTCCCCCTGTTTCCAAAAATAGAGGTAATACCGTGGCATCAGTAGGTTCCCATGACTGATCTTCATCTACTCCTATAGACTCCCCCTGAAGAGAAGTCGAGGGGAAGAAAGGGTCATTCTCAGAAAAAGTGACATCCATAGAGACAAAGACCTTACGAAAAGAGGGTGAATAACATTTATAGCCACGTTGAGTAGGAGAATAACCAATAAAGACACACTGAAGAGACTTAGGATCAAGCTTAGACCGTTGATGGGAGGGAATATGGACAAATACAACGCAACTAAATAACTTGAGAGGTAAGGAGGAGACACCTCGGAAGGAAGGGAAGATACGAACAAGACTAGAAAGAGGAGACTGAAATTTCAGAATGCGAGATGGCATTCGATTTATCATATACGAGGCCTGCCTCTCCCCAAAGATATTTAGGAACACTCGTGGTAAACATAAGAGCCCGAGCAACTTCAAGGAGATGTCGGTTTTTTCTTTCCGCAACTCCGTTTTGTTGGGATGTGTTAGGAACGAGCTTTGGTGAAGGATGCCATGTTAGGAAAGATATTCTCCAAGAATAGAGTTAAAATACTCTTTGCCATTACCTGTACGAAGAATTTGTATAGCAACTTGGAATTGGGTTTGAACCATGGCATGAAATTTTTTAAACACAGATGCAGCATCGGACTTATCCTTTAGAAGATACACCCAACAGACTCGAGAATGGTCATCAATGAAGGTAATGAACCATCGAGTACCTGAAATATTTTTAACACGGGCTGGACCCCATATGTCACTATGAATTAAGGAAAATGGGGAAGAGTCATGGTGAACTTTAGAAGGATAATGAGCACGAGTATACTTGGCAAGTTGACAAATATCACAAGAAAACAAACTTGGACTTTTATTAATAAATAAGTTTGGCAACAACTTCTGAAGATAAATAAAATTTGGATGGCCTAGCCTACGATGCCACAGCATAACATCATTACATGAATCAAAAGGAAACATAGAGTTTTTTTCTACGAAAACAGCTTCATGAGTCACATCCTCCTCAAAGTAGTAAAGTCCACCATCCTCTCTAGCACTGCCAATCATCATCTCCGAGTCCTGTTCCTGAAAAACACAACCATGTGGAAAGAATTTAGCAAAGCAATGCAACTCAGAGGTGAGCTTGCTAATGGAAATGAGATTACAAGTCAGAGAAGGAACATAAAGAACTGATGTCAAAGTAATCAGCTCAGAAAGTTTAATGGTTCCGTGTCCCGCAATCTGGGAAAAACTGCCATCGGCGATCTTGACCCGAGAAGGTTCAGAATATAGTGTATGAACAAAACAAGCCAAGATTACCTATCATATGATCAGAGGCTCCAGAATCAAGGATCCAATGATTTTGACTATCAACATGGAAAGCTGTACCTTGCTGGACCACATGACTAGTGGCCTTAGGAGGTTGAGTCAAATGTCTCTGAAGTTGTTCAAACTGATTCTTGCTAAGAAAGACACCATCAGATTCAGAGGATGCATGAGGCTCATCAACCTTGTCATCAGTAGAGACCTGATATGCACGACCTTTATTTTGTCCTTTGGGCTTCCAATTTGCAGGTTTCCCGTGGATTTCCCAACATTTCTCACGGGTATGACCAATTTTATTGCAGTGGGTGCACCATGGACGACCATCCCGTTTTGATTCTCCGGAGGAACGGTCAATGGTACGGTTGGCAGCTAATGCAGACATATCATCAGGCTTATCAAGCGACTCATTTTCTCCCAGCATAACTCTCTGTCTACTGGCTTCTCGACGAACTTCAGCAAAGGCGTCAGCAAGTGAAGGTAACGGTCGCTGCCCCAATATTCGACCACGAACCTCATCAAGATCTCGGTTGAGTCCAGCAAGGAAATCATACAGTCTCTCCTTCTCCAAGTGTTTTTTAAATTGGGTATTAGCTTCCAATCCCTTAAGATTAGATGCATAATAAAGATCCAATTCCTGGCATAAATTCGTTAGTGCAGTAAAATATTCAGTAACAGTCATACCCCTTTGACGAAAGTCTCTCAACTTATTTCTCAGTTCAAAAACTTGAGAGGTCCAGATCGGAGTAATTCTGTTGAACAGCATCCCAAATTTCCTTGGCAGTATCAAAGAACAGATAGGTTTGGCCAATCTGTGGTTCCATGGAATTAGTGAGCCAAGCTATGACCAAGGAATTATTAATCTCCCAATCGTCATAATCAGGAGAATTCTCAGTAGGTTTCTTAATTCTTCCCTCAAGATAGCCCATCTTACCCTTTGCCAGGATGACCAACTTAACTGATTGAAACCATTGCAGAAAATTCTTACCGTTCAACCGGTGATTGGTGATCTGCAAACCTAAGTTGTCTCCAGAGGACTGAGAATTTGGGGCAGATGAGGAGGCGGAAGAGTGTTTTGAGGAAGCCATGAATAGAAAGAGAAGGGTTGACCATTGATGAAAAATCAAGTTTTGTAAATTTTTTATCTGACCTCTGGAACAGGAAGGGGAGAAGCCGGCGAGAAGGTCTGTGCAAGTCGCAGCGGAAAAAGACGTTGGGAAGGCGGCGCGTGGAGCTCACGCGCCGGAGACTGGCCGCGCGTGTGACGGCGCGTGCGGCGGTTAACGGCGATGGGTCCAGCGGCGGTCGACTCGTCGGATCCTTCTGAGTCGAATGGTCACCTCACTTTCTTGATCGGAGGTCAGTAGACTAGGTTTCTGTGTTGGACAGATTCAAGGAGGTGTTTAGGAGGTGTTTGACGGTGATAGAAGTGTTTGGATGGTTATTTCAGATTTGAATTAGGGTAGGAACGAACCCGCTCTTGATACCATATTGAAAAGAAGTTTTTGTATATTGATCTTGAATAATTTACATGAGTGAGTATTTATACAAGAAAGAATCGCTAAGAATGACTAAGCGATGACTAATCAATCCTAATCACAATCAATTCTAATCAATCACAATCAATCCTAATCAATCATAATCAATCCTAATTAATAGGAAATAAAAACGGAAACATGTTTGAATTCTGATTTTCTACACAAATCATAAGCATAAAATTATGAAGGATGCATAAATATACCCTAACAAAGCTAAGTGTATGAATACACAACATAACTTAGTCAGAAGATAAGCGGAAACAAAGTTTCCATGTTAATGAAACACATTAGTTTTGAACAAGACAAATGACACTTAATTTAGTGGGTTCATACAAAAGAAACATTAATACCTGTCCTAATGCTTGTAGACAGAGCGCTCGAAGAACTCCTTCTGCTAAGTCTACTGGTAAATTTCTCCTAATCAGAACCAAAGTAATAAGCATTAAAAGAATGAAGAAGGCCATTTAGATTACACAAAAAACATGACAGTCAATTCATTGGATACATTAGATATGTACAAACCTGAGTTCCGCAGGTAACTGTGGAAGAACATGTCTGACAGCACAATCCAGATATCCAGCAGCCTTTAAGAAGATATCAACGGAAGCTCTTCTGCTTTCTGTAAGTACAGACCAAAAGCTTAACTTTCACAGAAAGAACAATATACATTTGGATTAGGGCAACAGTGACAAACCAAAGAAACAAAGTATTTCAGTACATAAGATAACAAAGAATATGTTTTCCAGTTATTTTGCTACCATTAAATCTAACCAGTAGATGAAAAATAAAAAATAAGAACTGCATACTCAACAAGATAAATTTTCCAACATTTCATATGTAGTGCATGTATATCAAGTCCGATTTATGGGTAGGATCTACCAAGCATGACAGAAGAAAGAAAGAACAAAACAAAAAAAAAAGGATAAAATTATTTTTCTTCAAACGTCAAGAGATGTGACAAATTAGCAATTACTAGTAATTAAAATACTTTTTTTTATCCATTAATGAAATAGAAATATAATCCAAATTATAAATATCAGGTGAAGGGTCCACGTAATTGATGTTCTATATATACAAAAGCACATCCACCACGCACACAGACACACAAAGAAGAAACAAGATTACTTTAAAACCTCGAGAATATTTCATTTGTGTGTCCAATTCAAGGTCTAAACTAATTTATTCCAATGTATTTTGGTTGTTTGATATGAGAACAAGACGAGATTGAGGGCCACGGCAACAAATTTGCTGATCTGTACCAAATTTTTTTGTATTATTACTTACCTTCTGATACTTTTGCTTGATAACCATCAGTGGATGATCTTGGAAGCAGTAACAAATTAGCCTGTGATAGTAATAGCATTGCCATCAAATGCAAAACTGACAACACCTCATACCAAGCATTAGACATTGTTGTTTCCTGCAAAAAGTGTCAATCACGGCATACCATAAAACATGGAAGTAGTGGGAACAAATTGATCAGCATTCTTAAGTACAGAAAGTAACATTCAAATCAAATCCAGAAAAATGTATGGATTTTAAAAAAAAAGGTTGGGAAATACCTCTTTATCATCTTCTTGATTCACCCAGACAAATTGTACTTTGTATTTTAAATTGCTTCCTGCACCATAAAGAAAAGCAATAATGATTAAGACTTGGCTTACAGAGAGCATACATCATGTACTATTCAACTAACACAAGCTTTACCATCTTTAACTAATCCCAGAAGAACTGGCAAGTAATCTTCAAGAGCCTGCAGAAGATCAGCCAATGTTGAACCACCTGAAGATGAAATCACATGACGACGATGCATCAACAAATCTGAGCAACTTATTTATCATAAAATAATTTTATTCTTGCTAAAACTAACCATGCCGGGTAGCACTATTTCTTTTTGTTCTTGTAATTGTGGGACCTTCTTGGCCTGCCATTACAACTATTCGTGTTCTAAGAGCAGATAGGCGTTCCACAATACTCTTGGACAAAAATTCACCAAGTGATTGAGCAAAATCAACAGGTTTAGGAATTCTTAGACCAGGAACATATACTGAAACTTCCCCAATACTCCGTGGTCTCCTTCTATTTCCACCAGAGTCATTCGGAATTGACACCAGGCAGCCCATGTCCGTAGGCTTACTATACCCACTGAATGCTGATACAAATAAGATACAGTCAATCACACCAAGAATCTCTATTTCGGTGAGTATAGTGAGTTTCTATTGTCTCTGATATCAAGATGTACAAACTTAATAAGAAAGTGCTGGGGACTATATATTCCACTGACAAAAATGTTGATTCATTATATTAAAGTTGTAAGATTTTAGTGAACACTAACAAGGATGCTGAGAGATTAAAACTAAAAAAGCCATTAACATGGCTAATTTAATGCCAAGTTGCCAACAAGCAAAAAAGTGGTAGTAGGTTACTCACGAGCACCATTATATTTAACTTGTAATGGGACTCTCCACATTATTTTAAAATTGCCAAATATTCTATTGAGAAGCACTAATTTTATACTCTTTTTGGGCAGCATCAATGATTCTCTTTTCTTTATCCACTTTCCCATAAGCCAAAAAGCTTCATAACCTTAATCCTTAATTAAAAATAAGCCCCAAAGATTTATCTAACTAACGTACCTGGCCCTTTGCCCTGGCTGTTGACTAGTCAAGTCAAAAGTTCTGGTGTTCTCTGCACAAAAAAATTCACATGTAGAGAATTGAGCTAGAGAAAGAAATAGACATTAAAGTAACAACATCACAAGAATGGCATGAGACATGACAAGTGTTGTCCGTGTCAACGTTTAACCGTGACAACAAGAGAAAAGGCTTCAAAAAATTACACCATGCTTACACGGTGATAACACTTAAAGGTAAAGTAGTTTCAAGTAAAAGTTTTTATGTTGTATATTCAAGAAGAAAATAGTTGAATTCAGCAAAGAACAACAACTGTGAGCAAAGGGTCTCCAAATAAATCCAAAACAACCAATACAACAAGCAACAATTGCAGAAACAGGAAGGAATCCTAGCATTCATTTATCTCTTGCTTGTTGCAATTCATGAAACAAAGTGTCTGTTTGCAACTCCAGAAACAAAAAATGGCCCAGAAAACAAGCATGGATAACTCAATGAAAAGTTCAATACTTTACGATACAAATTAGAAAAATGCTCCATTGGTTTGATGAAAAAAACAAACAAAGTCCTGAATTTTACAGAACTTGAATTACAAACTCAGAAAACTATCTTCCAAATTCACCCCAATACCAAATTTGAACTGGATTGAGCTTATTTTCCAACATGGGGTAATCCAAAACAGTACCAACCCAGAAAAGAAAAGAAAAAACATTTATTTTCAAGAAGAAAATTTCCAAAGTTTCAAGCATTTCATTCCCTCACTCTTCCCAGCCTTAAACTTCCAACAACAAAAAAGACAAACAGAAGCAGTTATCAAACCGTGCCCACAATCACATGATAATGAGTCTTTTACCATGAACAGCACAGTGGTAGCAAATTCAGGAAGCAGAGGCATCCAATTGAAAGCATTCAACTCAATTCACAATCAAAGAAAGCAGAGATTTTGAGAGCTTCCCAGAAGAAAAGCCTCCCTGAAGCTGAAGATCGCGCAGAACCAAAAATTCAAAAGAAAGGAACTCAAAGCTATTCCTTCAAAGACACCATCAGAGACAGAGACAGATACTCTTCCCTGAAAACAAATATAGGAAAATATATTTTCATTTTAATGATTGGACAACATTAAGATATACGCAAGTTTTTATTTATAATATCATATTATTTGAAAAGTTTATATTTACACACTCTTTTAGTTTTATCTTATAATTAAAAGGATCCTAAAATTTTAATCAACAATAACAAAACTAACAATAACCTCACCCTACCTTATTATATAATAAATGAGATTTATTTTTCTTATTTTGCATGAGATAAGAGCAATATTACTACACTAACACAAAAAAAAAAATAGAAAAAAAAAAAAATTAAAATAGATCTTCACGTAAGATTTATTCGTGTAGAAAGATTGTTTTATATCATATAATATAAGAAAAATAATCTCATAATATATATACATACGCATGTAAGTTGTAACATTGCCTCTAACACGCAGAGAGTAGCGCTAGAAAATGAAAAGGGGGTCGCTTGCATGTATTTTAACGTGGGTTTGTTTTACATGATCAGTTTATAGTTTATACCAAGTAAATATGCTTAAATATAATTAGGGAAAAAGATTTGTCATTTTAAATGACACACTTTATATTCTTTCACTCTCACAAAGAAATAGAACTCACATTTTAAAAACTTTTTCTCTGCATATTCTTACATGATTTATCTATTTCTCTCACTTAAAATAACATAACTTTGTGTTCTTTAAAATGATACACATTTTTCCCATATAATTAATAGAAGATAAATATAATCTCTGTAATTTATATATTAATACTTCTTTATTGAAAGGTTTTTGTTTTTTTTTTATATTAATGATTGCTTGACTAGTTGGATTGGGATTATCCTATTAAATTTCAACACAGTTGTGTTCTAAAAAATTCAAACTCAAAACTACTGGTTAAATTAAAATAATTCCTTACCAGTGTTTAATGATAAAGGTTTCTATTCTCAAATAATTCAAATATTCACTCAAATAATTTGTATATGTACACGTTCTTATATAAAATTTTGATTCATGTGTGATATAATATTTATTTTCATAATTTGTATATTATTGCATTTATTAATGAAGTTTCCATATCTTGTAATACAAATATTTATCTTATAATACAAATATCAATATAATTCCATATAATATTATTATTTCAATATGATGCAAATATTTACCCATGTAATTTACATATTAGTACATTTTTGTGTAAAATTTTATGTTCGTAAATATTTTTCTTTTCTTTTTTTAGAAATATTTCATCCGTTCATCGCTTCGTAACTAATCCTATTTAGACGAGTACAGAATTAAGGCTTTAAATACCTCCCAAATATAGTATTGAGAAAGATCGAACACATGTTCTTATCCTATTTATCTTTTGATTTAAATATTGATGTATTTTCATTTAAAGTTTTCATTTTCGTGTGATTTTTATATTTTATCCATAATTTAGATATTAATATATCTTCATATAAAAATTTTATTCACGTATAATTTAAATATTTACCTTTGTGTTTTAGAAAATAATACATTTTAATGTAAAATTATTGCTTCTGTACAAATATTCACTCCTATAAATATTTAACAAAAAGATATATAACTCAGTAGTCAATTGCCCAAACCTCCTATTTGATCGGCTATATGAACTCACATACACAAACCTATTGTTTTTGACAAACGAATATATGTGGCATGTTACTGTTAGGGAAAGAGAAGCATGTTAGATTAGTAATATAGAAATATAGTTAGATTAGTAATTTTTAAATTACTGAAATTAGAAATATAGTTAGATTAGTAATTTTTAAATTAGTAGATGATGCACTTTAAACCCTATGATAATACACATTTTCTAAATTCTAAGTAGAATGTTAGTTTCAAAGACAGTTTCATCAAAGATCAAATAAATGAAATATTAATAATGTCTCAAAAGTCATCAAAACTAGTAAATGAGGAGAGCGAATCACCTATATGCAAGTCCAATAGTTTTCGCTTCCTAAAGCTAGCTAAAATTTTTGGGATTTGGATTGAAAGGTTACGGCGGCAGTATTTTCAAACTCAGATCTCGGAAAATTCTTTTGTCGAACATCAAAAGTGATTTAAAATATGAGTTCCTCTCGATGAGATCTTCGAATGGACACCTTACTCGCTCAAATCCAACATATGAAGCTAATATTTCAAAATTGTTAGAGGTAATGAGCTTAAGAAAGAAGGGTTTTGATATACTTAAAGTATTACACAGACATCAGATTTGAAATGTTCATCAATATTACCTCAAGATCAGGAAAACTCTAGAGATAATGCAAGCTATTTTCCCTCTACCCTATATGAACCCAAATAACTATGTTTTTATCTTTTGGGTTTGTATATGAACATATTATTGGACTATATTATTAATATATCCAACAATCTTTTTCTATATTCACCATACAACACAATCCAATAAATTAATTGGTGTAATGTTCAAAGAAATATGAATTATTTAGATAAATGTCAATTTATACTTTCAATTAGTTATTGTCATATTCTAAGAAAAATGACATGAAAGATAGTTCACATATTAACTGATGGACATGGGATATTGCAGAGAATCCTCTTCCTGTTCGCTGTCGTTAGCATTCGAAAGTGTATGATACATATACTCTTGTGCGAGCAATTACTTTATGGTTTAGTGTCTATTCCAACACTTTATGGTTTAATGTCTATTATAGTGTGTTAGCTGTTGAACTCGTAATCTCTTGCTCAGGTTGTTTCTGTTATCATATAAAGAATTTATTCTAAAAGTTTAAATGGTAAAATAAAGTTTAAATGGTAAAATAAAGTTTAATTAATGATTTTTTATTCTCTAACACATTTAATTAATTAATTAATTTGTGTTAATTATTCAGTGCTTGATGAATAGTGTTAATTTTGTTATAAAAATACTGAAGTTCCCTTTAATAATTTCTAAACATCAATAGTGCTATCGACCTTTGTTGGTAATAAGTTACAAGTCCGTATACCAAATTAGATAACTATATTTAATTGAGAAAGGATGTGTTTACAAATTTTTTTTATAAATTTTTGTAAATTACACTATGTACTTCCGGTAGAACATAGTGTTCTCTCGGAAGTACATAGTGTAGTTTGCAAACAAAAAATTTATAAATATAATACTCTCTTATTTAATTAAAGAATAATTCATCAAACGTTAACTATATACTCGGATATTTGTGCATGTACCTTGAAGTTTTAAACTGTTTAATGTATTAGAGTAGCATTAATTTGTTAGGATCCTGATTGTAACTATCACGGTTTGTTACCTTGTATATTAAAATAGATTAGCTTGATTTATGCTTTCTGTTCCTTAAGTTTAGCTGATTTCCTGATGTAACCAATTGTAAATCTTGGTCTATATAATAGACCCAATTTGATATATCATCAAGCTGCGAATGACAGCAACTTCTGTTATGGTATCAAGAGCTTGACGATCAACAAGCCTTCATTTTTTTTTTTTTTCATCATGACTTCCGCACCTAAAACCTTCAAGGTTTCTGATTCTAAGTCACCCTTTTACCTGCACCCATCCGACAATCCTGGTGCTGTTCTCACCACGGTCATCCTCCGTGGACAATCCAATTATGAAAATTGGGCTGCTCATACTTCTCTGCCTTCGGTTCCTTCTGAGCCGTCATCAGCATCCATCTCCATGGCAGATTTTACACCAGAAGTTCTACATCATCTCATGTCCTTGGCTGTCTCTTCTGCCCCTCCAGTTGATAAACTTACGGGTAAGATTTTACACCCATCTTGGATCATCGACAGTGGTGCATCCCAACACATGACGGGCACACTCTCCTATCTATCCAATGTGCATTCTATTTCTCCTTGTTCTGTGGGACTGCCGAATGGAGTTCATGATATTGCTACGCAATGTGGCAGCATTACTTTGGGCTCTTCTCTTCATCTCTCCAATGTTCTTTATGTCCCTTCGTTGGCTTGTAATTTGATTTCTGTATCTCAGCTTCTGCGCCAGTCTTGCTTGGCATTGTTTGTTAATTCTGTTTGTTTGATACAGGACCTAAAGCAGAAGAGGACGATTGGAACGGGTGTTGAACGAGAAGGGGTGTATATATTGTGTGCATCATCAGCTTCTGCTCATGTTGCCAGTACGTCAGATTCTGCAGCACTATGGCATCGTCGTCTAGGACATCCATCTTCCCGTTATTTATCTTTGTTACCTTTTATTTCCAATGCAAACAATTTGGCTCCTTGTGACGTTTGTTGTAAAGCCAAACAACCACGAAGTCCTTTTCCTATTAATAATAAACGTTGTTTACATCCTTTTGATTTACTTCACTGTGATATATGGGGGCCATATCATATGGCATCTACAACTGGTGCCCGCTATTTTTTAACTGTAGTCGATGATTTTAGTAGACATGTTTGGATTTTTTTGATGCGCAATAAAACTGAAACTTCCACATGTTTACTTCGGTTTCTCCACTTGGTTCGCACCCAATATGATGCATCTGTTAAGCGAATTCAGAGTGATAATGGGACTGAATTTTTGTCATCTGTAGTCCAAGAGGCTCTCTCATCCTACGGTATTCATCATCAATTATCATGCACTTACACCCCACAGCAAAATGGACGCGTTGAACGTCGTCATCGTCACATCCTCAACGTGGCTCGTGCTTTGCGTTTTGATGGTCACTTACCTATATCTCTTTGGGGAGAATGCATCTTGACCGCTGCTCACCTCATCAACAGGACACCGACTCCACTCCTTGGTGGTCAGTGTCCCTATGAAGTTTTGCATGGCACTCCACCAAAGTATGATCACTTACGGGTCTTTGGGAGTTTATGTTACACTACTGTTTTACCCAAACCACATGACAAGTTCGCTCCTCGCTCCCGTAAGTGTGTGTTTGTTGGCTACCCTTTCAACAAAAAAGGATGGAAGGTCATGGATATCTCCACTCATGAAATATTTGTTTCTCGTGATGTTTTATTTCATGAAA